AGACCATGCTGCGGCGGTCCGCGCACTGCCTCGTGGAGGGCAAGCAGCTGCTGCTGATCGGCGCCGGCGGCGTCAGCAAGAAGTTCGTGTGGGAGGCGGCGCGCGACTACGGGCTCAAGGTGGGCGGGGCGCGGGGCGGGGCGCGGGGCGGGGCCGGTCCGAAGTCCCGGCCCCTGTGGTGGAGGCGGCAACCTGGGCGCCCGGGCGCGGAGAGCTTCGGGGCCGGGCCAGCACCGCTGGGGGCGGAGCCTGCGCTGGGCGTGCCCGCTGGGGGCTCTAGAGCCCAGGAGTAGGGGTGGGGCCCGCTGCCCCACCGAGGTTAGAAATTTAAACTTTTTGTATTTACTTATTTGAGAGAGAGCGAGAGTGAGAGAGCACAAGCGGGGGTGGGGAGGCGGCAGCAGAGGGAAAGGGAGAAGCAGGTTCCCTGCTGAGCAAGGAGCCCAGCGCGGGGCTGGATTCCAGGACCCCGAGATCATGACCTGAGCAGAAGGCAGAGGCTTAACTGACTGAGCCACCCAGGCACCCCAGAAGTCTAAACTCTTTTTGGCCGAATTCTGTTTCAGCGAGGTGAAAGAGGACCTCGGGAAGGGCACAGAGCCCCCTCCAGGGCAAAAAGAGCCCAGCGCAGATGGGCTGGAGGGGCGGGGGCGTCATTCAGGGTTAGTACCAGAACCAGGACCTTGAATGCCAGGCTAAGGAGCCTGGCCTATCCTGCAGGAAGGGCAGGCCCTTCGAGGTTGAATTCCTGAGGGCGCGAGTAGGGTGCTGGAGAGCAGCTTACAGGTCCCGAATCAAGTTCACAGCAGTGGCCTCACATTAAAGAATCTGGAGCCATCCATGCAGGCAGAGTAGGCATTCTTTTCTTTTCTTTTTTTTTTTTTTAAGATTTTATTTATTTATTTGACAGAGACAGGCGAGAGGGAACACAAGTAGGGGGAGTGGGAGAGAGAGAAGCTCGATCCCAGGACCCTGGGATCATGACCTGAGCCGGAGGCAGACGCTTAACGACTGAGCCACCCAGCCTCCCCCAGAGTAGGCATTCTTATCCCCCATTGAACAGATAAGAAAACAGAGGCCAGGTTCTTCCTGGCTCTAATCTACCACAATGGTCTCCTCTCCCCTCTTCCACAGTACCACACCCCCTTGGGAATCCACCCCTCCAGCCATTCCTATGCCTCTTCACTCCCTGCCTTGCACACTGTGCTCTCCACTTGGAACGTCTTTCTACTCCTCATGCCGCCAAGTGTTACAGTGCTCACAGCCACGCTCCCCTGTCTCTTCAGGAGCAGCCTCTGCCCGGGGAACCAGCTGCTTTGTGTCTGTGTTCCCCCAGCGTGCAGTGAGATTTGGGGCACAGGGCCCCACCGGATTCCTCCGTGGGCACCCCTGGGGTCAGAACTCTTTGGGTGAATGACGACCAAGAGCACGATGCCCAAAGACACCAGGCCACCTGTCCCTACCCCCACCCTGGTGGTTCCCCTACAAACTGTGGTCAGAGTGAGAGTGAGCCCACCAGCCCTCTCTCTTTGCTCCAGCCCCTCCTGCCCAGATCACACCGTTTCCCTTGTGCCGCCATCTTTCCTCTGGCTGAGTTTTACTCAGCTCCCAGCCTAAGCATTGCCTCCTTTCGGCTGCCTTCCCTCCCCTCCAGGCTGGGTTAGATGTGCCAGTTCTGCACCTTCCATTTAGTCAATCATCAACAAATATTTTTTGAGCCCCTAGAACTGGTGAGTCGGTCTCCGCTGAGGGCCAAAACCATGTTCTAGGCCCCATCCAATCTCCCCAGTGTCCAGCACAGGCTGACCTGGGTGTGTTGTGCTCTGGTGCTTTCTGCAGCTGCACCTGGTGGAGTCGGACCCCAACCACTTTGCATCCCAACTGGTGCAGACTTTCATCCACTTTGATGTGACGGAGCACCGGCGGGATGAAGAGAATGCACGGTTGCTGGCGGAACTGGTGCGGGCCCGTGGCCTGCAGCTGGATGGCTGCTTCTCCTACTGGGACGACTGCCTAGTGCTCACGGCCTTGCTCTGCCAGGAGCTGGGGCTGCCCTGCAGCCCCCCAGCTGCCATGCGCTTGGCCAAGCAGAAGAGCTGCACCCAGCTGCACCTGTTGCGCTGCCATGGCCCACCCTGGCCTGCGCCCTCCGTCCACGCCGTGCCCTGCTGCCCGCTGGAGAGTGAGGCCGATGTGGAGAAGGCCGTCCACCAGGTGCCCCTGCCAGGTGTCATGAAACTGGAGTTCGGGGCAGGCGCAGTGGGTGTGCGGCTGGTGGAGGATGCGCCACAGTGCCACGAACACTTTTCCCAGATTGCCCGCGACCTGCAGGGGGAGGCCGACCACCCTGGCATTGGGCTGGGCTGGGGCAACGCCATGCTGCTGATGGAGTTCATTGAGGGCACCGAGCACGATGTGGACCTGGTGCTGTTTGGTGGGCGACTGCTGGCCGCCTTCGTGTCCGACAACGGCCCCACGAGGCTGCCCGGCTTCACGGAGACGGCAGCCTGCATGCCCACCGGGCTGGCACCCGAGCAGGAGGCCCAGCTGGTGCAGGCAGCCTTCCGCTGTTGCCTGGGCTGTGGGCTGCTGGATGGGGTGTTCAACGTGGAGCTCAAGCTGACTGGGGCTGGGCCGAAGCTCATCGAGATCAACCCTCGCATGGGCGGCTTCTACCTGAGAGACTGGATCCTGGAGCTCTATGGTGTGGACCTGCTGCTGGCAGCAGCTATGGTGGCCTGTGGCCTGCGGCCTGCCTTGCCCACCCACCCACGTGCCCGTGGCCACCTGGTGGGGGTCATGTGCCTGGTGTCCCAGCACTTGCAGGTGCTGAGTTCCACCGCCAGCCGTGAGACCCTGCAGGCTCTTCACGACCAGGGCCTGCTGCGCCTCAATTGGCTGGAGGAGGTCCTGGTGCCGGGCGAATACGAGGAGCCCTACTGCAGCGTGGCCTGTGCTGGGTCCAGCCCGGCTGAGGCTCGCCTCCGCCTGCTGGGCCTCTGCCAGGGTCTGGGCATCGATGGGCCCCACTACCCTGTTGCCCACTTCCTGTCCCACTTCAAATAGTGCCTCTCTTCCTGGACACCTGCCCCAACCCTGGCCTGGCCCCCCCAAGGCCTCAGGTCTGTTCCAGAATAACAGGGCCATTTGACACGAAGGCCTCCTGAGCTTGAGGGCCACAAAAAAAGTATCTGGGGGGGGCCCACTGGCCCCTCTTGCTGTCAGTCCAGCACAGGCCCCAGTCCTGCCCCACGAGTCTAGCCATCGAGAAACAGCAACAGCTGCGTGCATACACACAAGCACACGCACACGCACGCGCGCGCACGCACACACTGCAGGGAGGCGGGAGTCGGGCCCAAACTTAGCCCCTCTTTGTCATCCCTCCAGGTCTGTCTCTCCTCCTGCAGCCTACAGGAAGAGAGAAGCTGGCTGGCCCCTGGCCTTGGACAAATCCCACAAAAGCCTGAGATGAAACGCCCTGTCTTCTTACTCTTAACCCTCATTTAGCAAATTCCAGGATATTTCTAGAGCCCGCTGACAACTTTTGGCAGTGCCCTGCTTGCCTCATTTGGCCTGAGCAGTAGAATCAGGTGCCCTGGGGTCAGCAGGAACCATCTCCTCTCCAGGCAGACACTATTGCCCCATTCTACAGATGAGGAAACAGGCTCAGAGAGGAACAACCATTGCCTCAAGGTCACACCACAGGAGCTGGGGGGTCAAGGGACAAGATACAGGGTCCAGGTTTCCACTTTTACTAAGTCTTATGTGCCCGCTCAGCTTCTAAACCCCACTCACCTCCCTGCCCTCATTCATATGTGACCTTAAGACAAGTGAACGCCCCCTCCCATGCAGCACACACCTTCTCCACCAAGCTTTGGTGCTTTGGCCTCTGGCATAACTAACCGGCATTGGCAGAGGAGAGTCTACACTCCCTTCCTGATTCAGGGGAGTCTGCTTCAATAACTCTGCCCCTGTGCAGCGCAGGACCTGGGGCTCGCTCCACAAGCATCCCTCTCCAAATAAAGGCTTATGAACTAATGAAAGGTCTGGCATGTGGTTCTTGCAACTTGGACAATACCCCTCAGGCTCAGCTAGATGGGAGTTGGGGATGGGAGGAGGGAGAGGTGGCTAGGGGACACCTGTAGCATCTGGAGCTAAGGATAAAACACCCTACTGGCCAGGTCTCTGTGTTGGAGGGGCCTGCCATGGTCACACAACGGGACCCAAACCTGAGGGTCCCTGGAGGGTGGAATTGCAACCAGAGGGCCACATCCAACTAAACAACCCTCTTCCAGCCTGGAGACCTGAGTTCTGTCCAGCTGAGTTCATATTTAGCCTCCCCATCCAACTGGAATGCACATCCAGACAGCCTCCAACAGTCAGAACTCAGAACTCATCCAAGACCTAGTGTGGCCCAAATTCACCCCTACAGAGCTCCAGGCAACGAGAATCCATGCCCAAATCTAAAGTCACAGACCAGGTTTTGTGTATTCATTCATTCAGTCATTCATTCATTATTTTAACGAAGTTTCATTACGTGCCTATTCTGTATCAGATAGCAAAATTACTAAATGTACTTAAATTGGCAACGAAGCAAACTCCAGCACAAACCCATATTTACGGGTGTTATCAGTGAGACCCAAACCCTTTCTGGCAAGAACCTGGCAAAAAAGCCCAGCCTGACCTGAGCGTGGGGCAGTCACCCCGTAAGTGTTCTAATTTGCAGGGTCCTTGAGGCAGGTGTCACGTTAGGGAGACTGTGATGCAGCCGCCTCTCAGGGGCGAACAGAGAGACGCGACCTGCCTTTCGCCGCCCCGCCACCCAGCCAGCGCACAGCTTAAACCGGGCTGGGGATTAAATTTACACACATACCTGCACGTGCTTCTGCCCCATCCAAACTCAAACTCTCCCCAGAACCAAGATGAGCGCCTTCTAGGCTTCCCTTGTCCGGTGCCACCCCCGGGGAGCAGTGCTGCGAAGACTGAGGGTCCCGTCAAAGAGTGTTAGACCGGCTTTGGCAGCCCGGCACTGTGGAACTACAGTTCCCGAGAGGCCTTGCGCCGGGCGCCATCTTTTCGCCCCGCCAGACTAAGGGGCCGGCTGGAGGGAGGGGGGAGCCTCATGCGTCATCGGCGCGCGGGGCCGCGGTCGCGGAATGATAACGTACAACACCCCCGCCCCGCCCCCCGGGCTGTCAGTCTGAGCGCGGCCAAGCACGGGCCGAGGGGCCCGCCGGGCCGGCGCCGCTATGGCGGCCGTGTTTGACCTGGACCTGGAGACGGAGGAAGGCAGCGAGGGCGAGCCAGAGTTGAGCCCCTCGGTGAGTGGTCCTCCCGGGCGCGGCTCGATCCCGGAGCCGATCCCATCCTCCAGGCGGTGGACTCGCCCTGGCTTCCCCCAGCCAGAGCGTCTCTGAGCCCGGCCCCTATTAAGCTCTGACCCACCCTCACTCACCCCGACCTGTCTTCCAGGCCCCAGCCCTTACCCTGGTTCTCCCTTTTCTGCCCTGGACCTCTCCTCCCCATTGCTGGCCCATCGCCCGCCAGCTCCCATTCCTGACCCCCTCCTCTCCTGGGCCAAGTAGTCCAGCTTGAGGGGGAGGGATCCCGGTGCCTTCCTTGGCTCTTACCCCTCGGTTTCTCACAGGACGTGTGTCCCCTTGCCGAGTCGAGGGCGGCTGGCCTGGAGTGAGTGAGGGTTGTGTTGGGGGAGGAGGGTATGGGCTGGGGAGGGAGACATGGGGAGTACTGGAGCCTTGCCCCCATTAACTTCTTGTGTTAATAGGCCTGTGGGACACTGTGAGGAGGTGGAGCTGACTGAGACCAGTGTGAACCTAGGCCCTGAGCGCATCGGGCCCCACTGCTTTGAGCTGCTGCGTGTGCTGGGCAAGGGGGGCTATGGCAAGGTACTGGCCTTCCTTCCTCACTGGTCTCCCTGCCTCAGTCTTGCCGCAGCAAAGGGTCTCAAAACAAATTAGACTTGTAAATCAGCTGAGCCTCCATAGAACGCTGAGGTAAAAACATAAAGCAGGGAAAGGCCGATCCTCTCAGAATCAGACTTGACATCTTTACTGCCCCACCCTTGGGTGGGCCTAGGCCTCTGGGTCTCAATGCCAGAGCTTCAGGGTGGAGCTTTTTGAAGACAGGATGTGGAGAGGGAGGTTGATCCTGTCTCCCCTGCCCTACAGGTGTTCCAAGTGCGAAAGGTGCAGGGCACCAACTTGGGCAAAATATATGCCATGAAAGTCCTGAGGAAGGTGAGTCATTTGTTCAGCCAACAAATCCTTGCTCGGTGGCTGCCGTCCTCCATGCGCTACTCCAGGCTTCCGGAAGACAGTAGTGAACATGATGGAGGAGATGGCCCCTGTCTCGGGCATTGGCTGGTTTATTGTCAGTTGTGGTTGTGTTGTTTTGCAGTAATTCCCAACCGTGGGCAATATTGCCTCTACGTTTTTGAGTCACGACTAAATAGGGGTGCTACTGGCATCTAGTGGGTAGAGGCCAGGGCTGCTGCTAAACATCCTACGATGTACAGGACAGCACCCACAGCAAAGGATTATCTGCCTGAAATGTCATTAGTGCCAAAGCAGAGAGGTACCTCTAGAGGATAAATCAGTCCTTGAGAAGGATGATCACTGGTAGCGGAATTATGGAGAAATAGAATGGAGCGATAAAGGGTGGCAGGAGGGTAATGGCTGGAGGGACTAAAGGCGCCCGGGGTGCCCACCTTCTGATTGATCCCGCCTCTTCAGGCCAAAATTGTGCGCAACGCCAAGGACACAGCACACATGCGGGCTGAACGGAACATTCTAGAGTCAGTGAAGCACCCCTTCATTGTGGAACTGGCCTATGCCTTCCAGACTGGTGGCAAACTCTACCTCATCCTCGAGTGTCTCAGTGGTATGAGCAGGGGCCCAGCCAGGGAACCAGGGCCAGGGAACCAGCCAGGAAGCACTGGGAGCTCTGGGGGAAGCCTGGAGAGATGTGGTGTGTAGAATGGCTAGGGGGCCCCCACGCCCATCCATTCGTGTGTCCATCCGTCCCTTCATTCATTCATTCAGCAAACGTCTGTCCAGCACCTATTTTGTCCCTCACCTGTATTGGGGGTGGACGGGAACGGTGGGAGTTCGTGCAGAAATCCAGTGGCTTGTTTTGTCCATTTCCACTACCCCTTCATGGCCTGTTCCTCTCTCCTGTATGCCCTGTGTCCAGTTGGGTCCCAGATCCCGCTGGTTCATTCTCAGCAGTGTCCTTCATACTCTCCACTCTCCTGAGGGAGGGCAGGGGTCACAGTTGTTCCTAACTGGGCCTGAGGCCTTCAGCTCACCCTCTTCCATGAACGCCCAGGGTCATCGTCTCAGCACGGAATTGGCCCCGACCCTCCTACTCACAATCACACGGCTCTTTGTAACTGCCCCGGTGAAGCCTGGCCTCCTTGGCCTGGCGCCCCCTGTTGGCCGTGAAGCGGTTGGGGCCCACTCGCCGCCAGGTCCTGTCTGCACGGATGAGCCCTGTGAGCTCCAGTGCCCGTGTCCATCTCAGCAGCCCCTCGATTCTCACTGTTACCATGGGCTGTGTCCCCTCACGCTGGGAGTCCTTTGCCTCCTCTGTGATATTTTTTGCATTAAGCTCCTGGAGCTGTTGCCTCAGTCTGGCATATTAGAGCACCTGTGTGCATGTCTGTCTCCCCATTAGACTGAGCATCCTGAGGGCAATGGCTGGGTCTCCTCATCTCTGTGTCCCCAGCTTCACCCAGCACAGGGCCAGACACCCGAGTAGGCGTCGGTAGATGTTTGCTGAATTGAATTGAATCCCCACGGCAGCTCTGTGAGGCAGGTAGGGCCGGAATTATGAGTCCCACTCTCCCCAAGAAGAAACTGAGATTCAGAGAGCAAAGATGCTTGTTCCCAGCACACAGCTGCTGACATGTTTGTATCACAGGCGGTGAGCTCTTCACGCATCTGGAGCGAGAGGGCATCTTCCTGGAAGACACGGCCTGGTGGGTGTTCCTTCCTGCCTCTCTGCAGGGGCTCCAGGGATCCCCTTCCCCCAGAGCCCAGTCCCTTGCCTACCCTTGCCTTCACCCTGTCCTGTCTCTGCAGTTTCTACCTGGCAGAGATCACACTGGCCCTGGGCCATCTCCACTCCCAAGGCATCATCTACCGGGACCTCAAACCTGAGAACATCATGCTCAACAGCCAGGGTGCGCATGTGTGCACACCCCCCGCCCAGCCCCGTGTAGCTGCATATGTTGGGTTGGAATCTGCAGGGAGGGCTGAGGAGCACCACACAGTAGGCCAGGGCCCTGACCACCCCTTCCAACATCTTCCTCAGGCCACATCAAACTGACAGACTTTGGACTCTGCAAGGAGTCGATCCATGAGGGCGCCGTCACCCATACTTTCTGTGGCACCATTGAGTACATGTAAGCGGCAGCTGGCTGGGACCAGGGGTTGGGAGGACTGCCAGGAAGGGCCCGGCCTGGCTGATGGTTTCCCCTGGCCCCCAGGGCCCCTGAGATTCTGGTACGCAGTGGCCACAACCGGGCGGTGGACTGGTGGAGCCTGGGGGCCCTGATGTATGACATGCTCACTGGATCGGCAAGTCCAGCCTCCTTGGGAGGAGGGGCGGTGGGGAGGGGGGTGGGAGGGGGGTCCTCATCCTGGGCCAGGGCCAGGGCCTGGGGGGAGGCCCGCAAGTCTCCTCTCACCCTCTGCTTTCTCCAGCCACCCTTCACTGCAGAGAACCGGAAGAAAACCATGGACAAGATCATCAAAGGGAAGCTGACGCTGCCCCCCTACCTCACCCCGGATGCCCGGGACCTTGTCAAAAAGGTGGGCTCCTCCAGTGCCTGGGCCAGCCCCCAGTGTCTTCTAGGCCCTGTATGGAATCCTGAGTTTCTCTGGGCTGTGGGACACCCCGGCCTGTGCAGTATGCCTTTGGGATGAAAGAGCACTGGTTTTGGGGTCCAAGACGCTGAGCTTGGGCCTTCAGTCTGTTGCAGACCAGCTGATGACCCTGCTGCACACACTCCTAGTCCCAAGTCTTAATCAGCAGAACATTCACGATGAGCTAGCTGCTCTCCCATCGAGAAGGCATTCGTTGGGGGTAAAAGTGGGAGGCGAGGCTTGGAGATTGGATCCCACTGCAGTGCCCTAGTGCCCCCAGTGACCGGGTGCCTTTGCGAAGGCTTCACGCGGAAGGGCCCGTTAGACCAAACCTTGGAAGGCCTAAGGTTGTCCGTAGGTGGAGACCACACTCTGGAGGCCTTCTCCCCACCACCACACACACACATACACAGACACACACACACAGCTCACCTTTCCCTGCCCAGGCCAGTCTCCAGGAACATGGAGGAACACACAGTCAGTGCCTCTCCCCCAGACAGACCCTCACCCTCTGGCCTTGTCGTGCAGTTTCTGAAGCGGAATCCTGGCCAACGGATCGGGGGTGGCCCTGGGGATGCTGCTGATGTGCAGGTGGGTCTGGGACCACCAGGAGGGGGCAGGGCTGAGCCCCCAAAGGTGCCAGGGGGCAGGCAAGGCCTTAGGGCAGAGGGAGTTACTGAGGGAGCCAAGGAGGGTGAAATGATGAGATGTTTGGGGGCCCTCTACCCACAGAGGCACCCCTTCTTCCGGCACATTAATTGGGACGACCTCCTGGCTCGCCGCATCGACCCCCCTTTCAGGCCTTCTCTGGTAAGCGGAGGACCCATTAGTCTGGGGGCAGGTGGAGGACCCGTCCTGGATGCCCCCGACCCCTCCTCCCCGCTCGGGTCTACCCACAGCAGTCAGAGGAGGACGTGAGCCAGTTTGACTCCCACTTCACGCGGCAGACGCCAGTGGACAGTCCCGATGATACGGCCCTCAGCGAGAGCGCCAACCAGGCCTTCCTGGTGAGGTCCCGGGGGGCCTGAGGGTTATGGGGGCCCGGGCAGGATTGTGGCTAAGGAGTGGTGGACACTGAGTGTCATCCGGCCCTGCCTTCGCTCCCCACTCCGCCGGCTGCCCGGCCCTTGGGGACCTTGACCGGCTTTCCGGCCCCGAACCGCTGTCCATGCCCCCGCCCAGGGCTTCACATATGTGGCACCCTCCGTCCTGGACAGCATCAAGGAGGGCTTCTCCTTCCAGCCCAAGCTGCGCTCCCCCAGGCGCCTCCACAGCAGCCCCCGGACCCCGGTCAGGTACCACAGGACAGAGGGGAGTGTGTAGCTGAGGCAGGGGTCCGGCCAGGGCTGCCTCTCAGTGCTAGTCTCTGTTTTCCCATCCACAGCTGGGGACCCCTTGTGGTGGGGGCTGCCTGGCTGGGCACTTGACCTCACAGCCTCTGTGCCTGGGGGTGGGGGTGGGGGGACATCGGCCCTCTGACCCCGGCGCCAGTCCGTGCTGATCACCTTGGTTTCCCCTGCAGCCCCCTGAAGTTCTCGCCCTTTGAGGGATTCCGGCCCGGCTCTGGCCCACCGGAGCCCTCGGAGCCCCCTCTACCTCCTCTCCTGCCGCCGCCGCCACCACCACCCTCGAGCACCGCCCCCCTCCCCATCCGACCCCCCTCAGGGACCAAGAAGTCTAAGAGGGGCCGTGGGCGCCCAGGGCGCTAGGAGGATGGGCGGCCGTGAGGGCAAGCGGGGCCCTGGGCCAGTTCCAGAGACCTGGAGGCGTGTCTAGGGGTACAGGAGTGAGTGTGCGTGAGAGCGTGTCTCTGTTGGGGGTGGCTGTGGCCCTGAACCATGCCCGCGAAGGGCCACAGGCTCTGGCTGTCAGGGGAGTGGCCTCGCCGCCCAGCTGGCCCGCAGTTGAGCTGTGCCCTTGGAGAATTAAAACACTGAATCATGGCCCTGACCTGGCTCTTCCCTTGGACCTCTGGGGGCAGGATTGGGTTGGGGCTGTGCCAGGAGGAGCCCCTGCTCCGAGATGGGAAAGGTCGCTACAGGACCACAGAGCCACAGGGCTGGAGGGGTTTTATTTCAGATGACCCCAGTGCCCCTAGGGGTGGGCGGCCTTCCTGGTGGGGACAGGGATGCACAGCTTGGGGGACAGAACCGGTGGGGGAGCGATCGTCTGAGACTCTTACATGGGGGGGGCGCAGGTGTGGGTGACGCTGGGTCCAGGGCAGCTCGGGACGCACAGGTGCAATGACAGGGACGGGACGCCACTCTGGCTCTTACAGTGCGGTGACGTGGAGGCCCCGGCCCCCAGCGGCTTCGGCGCTGTCGTCCCAGGCCGCGCTGCCAGCAAAGGCGTGCAGGTCGCTCAGCAGGGCCTCGGCGCTGCCCCCTGAGCCCGCCGGCCCCTGGCAGCTGAGGCCCAGGCCCCCTTCGCTGTTACTGTCACGCGCGTCCTCAGCAGGCTCCGGGAGCTGCTGGGGGCCGGGCCCCTGGCCGCCGCGCTGCTCCTCTTGCTGGGACTGTGTCTCCGCCGGGCCGCCCGCCACCTGGTAGTCCTCCTCCGCGTCCTGCTCGTCCTGCTGCCGCTCCAGGGCCCCGTCGCGCC